AATTTACTGTGTATTACATTCCCTTAAAACCCACCGTCATCGAGAAAGTGGAAAAGAAGCAAAAGAGCCTTGTCAAAGACACGTCACTTCTTCGTCACCCTCCCCCTACTTTTCGAGCTCCTCAAAGCCCAATTACCCTAGAATTTGTCCCCTGGTTCCAAAATTGTATCAAAACCACTGCAGTAATGAGGGTAACACGTGTTGTCTTTCAAGGAGTAGGCCGTGTCCCCCCTCCAGGCTTATAGGGGGAGAGACGCGAGGAGGGAACAAGCCTACCCGGAGGATCCGACCACCTCCAGCCTCGGGGGGCGTGGTATCGAACAGAAGCAGGATAGGACAAAAGACTGGCACGCTCCCACGCCACGATTTTACAAAGCTTTTTTTGTGCCTTTGTTTGAAGGAGCTGTCAGAATTTCTGATGTGTGAGCATCTGGGCAGCATGTCTCTCGCTCGAAGAAGAACAAAGGACCGCAGGAGAGCACGGATCGCGATACTTCTCTTAGATGATGAATGTTGCCACGGCCAATGAAGTGAGGCGTAGAAGACGCTACATGCACGAATGTTTTTTGTGGTTGGTAGGTTCATGCCGGTGCTGTCCATTATTCGAGCTGACATGTGGGAGGATGCTAGCAGACACGGAGGGGGTTGTTGTGTCGCTAAATCGTTGTGTGCCGTCTCGCTTTCTTGTCGCAACTAGCTCGGTGCGATGGGCGTGAATGGCACAGAGAGATGTTCCGCACGGAATTTCAATGGTTTTTAATGTCGAGGAAGGATTGCTCCTTCGGACTTGATCGTATACGTGGCGTCGTGGCGGACTTCCATTCACCCGAGTCAGATCCTTTAACCCGTCTAGAGCGCAGCCGTGGTGGTGCGTTTGTGTATGACTATCCTGTACCGATCATCCCAAAACGGGGGCGCAACATTGTGGAAATTCATCCTAATAGATCCCTTCATGTTCATGTGCGTACCAGTGGAACCATGGCTGCAGTACAGGCACGGGGTTCAGAAGGAGCGCTCTACAGGCAAAGGCTTCCGTCATGCTCCCCTCATCACCTCCACCCCTCCTCCCCCCCTCCTCGTGCGCACAGACGACACACCAACGACACAGGACGTACACGAAAAGCATGGCCTCAACCTTCGTGGCCCCCCGCACGCTTCGGGACGTGCCTCACGCAGAGTCCT